GGCCCTGGGTAATACGTGAAAACTTGCGGCAGGCCTGGCCACTTGGCCATCCGTGGAGCAACGAGTTCTGAGACACACAGGGATTCTATGAGAGTATTGCATCGCTGTAGAGCTGACTCGCCATTGTAGCGATGCAGAATGAAAAGCTAAGTAACATTGCTGGGCACCCAGAACCGTGCGACTTTCAGCGACGAAAGGAAAGGCGTACAGGCTCCATCACTTGTGTTTGCAGGGATTCAAGCTCTGATTTTGGTTGTAGTGTCATATTGCATTGGCCCATTGAATGAGTGCACTTGGCTGGAGGAGGTGTCCTTCAAGATTGCTTTGAGCTTCTGGCAAGTGTAACGTCTCGGCTCTGCCGTCGGACCCGACTCAAACGGAATGCCCCAAGCCGTAACACAAACCGGCGGCAGCCCATGAACCAGGAAAGATCGAAAGGCCAAGTGGCGAGAAGCACTCCATCCAGTCGTACATCGTGCCCATTGTCACATTCGTTGAGCCATACATCTCCTGTGGCGGTGCGTTGAGGGCTTTCGGGCCTGGGGCTGAAAGCGCCGGAAGGGCTGGGACTCGATCTTCAAGGCAACTGAGCGTCCATGTCCATCTTCATCTGGAAGCCGTTCACCATATCCATCACGACCTACCAACCGATTTGCTCAGGCTTCGGAAAAGGAACCTGTCCGAACAGACTGCTCTGAGGCGAGTTGACAAGTGGCTGCGGACCAGACTGTCTCGAAACTATGAGGGGGGGGTCTTCCGATCAACCATGCACAACTCACGAACTCGGAACCACGGACCATGTCCGGAAGAAGCACGGCAAGCGGGAGCGGGAAAGCAACGGGGCCGAATTGGAACATAAGGTAAGTCGTCTACATCGGTGACGCATTCTTACGGCGATCGGTAAGCTTTGGAAGCCGAACACAGGACCATTGTGAGACATCCTGTAAACCTCGGACTTGTAGACGAATCAAGCTAGCGCCAGTCTTGGTGTACAAGGCTGTCCTTTCGCAGTTGTGAAACCCGGCACAGCCCAGCAAAGGTTGCCCAACCCAGCCTCGTTGGCCATAGAATTGCCGGACAGGTCCTTGCCTCACTTCGTGTAACATTATCCCATTCATGAAAAGCTAGGAATGCTCAGAAGCAGAAACAATTGCAGCAGTGGCACTAGTAGCAGTCAACATGACAGTAATTGTACGTAGTGGCAATAATATACAAGCAGATATCAGAAGAAACCATCATGTCATAGCCAGGCTTAAAGACGAAGAAATTGAAGTCGTGACCATACCATTAATAATCATAATGGGAATAAGAACAAAGTCATAAATATACCAATAGTCGAAATCATAGTAAAAGAGGTAGTATGCAGAGTGGGAATAGAAATGGTGATAACAATCGTGGACTACAAGCAAAGCTAATGCAGTGGGTATGGCCGGTATGGCCGTGAGAATACTGATACTACTACTACTACTACTACTAGTAGCAGCAGCAGCAGCAGTAGCAGTAGCAGTCGCAGTATCAATAATAGTAGCAGTGGCAGTAGCAGTAGCAGTAGCAGTAGTAGTAGTAGTAGTAGTAGTAGTAGTAAAAATAATAATAGTAGTAGTAGTAGTAGTAGTAGTGGTAGTAGTAGTAGCAGCAGTAGTAGTAGCAGCAGCAGCAGTAGCAGTCGCATTAGCAGTAGCAGTATCAGTAACAGTAGCAGTGGCAGTAGTAGTCGTAGTCGTCGTCGTCGCCGTCGTAGTCGTAGTAGTCGAAGTGGTCGAAGTAGTCGTAGTAGCCGTAGTAGTCGTAGTAGTCGTAGTAGTCGACGTAGTCGTAGTAGTCGTAGTAGTCGTAGTAGTCGTAGTAGTCGACGTAGTCGTAGTAGTCGTAGTCGTAGTAGTAGTAGTAGTAGTAGTAGTAGTAGTGTTATGTTAGTAGTAGTAGTAGTAGTAGTAGTCGTCGTCGTCGTCGTCGTCGTCGTAGTCGAACTGGAACTACCAGGGTTCAGGGGTTTAGGGTTGAGGGTTTAGGTTTAGAGTTTAGGGTCTAGAGTTTAGCGTTTAGGGTTCAGGGTTTAGGGTTTAGGGTTTAGGGTTTGGGGTTTAGGGAGCCAGGGCGCTGTAGACCAAGATGAGGTCGATGGCGCTCATGTTCGACTTGCTCGTGCAGGGCACCGTCTGGTCCCAACCCATCTTGCTCATGTTCAGCAGCATCACCTGGGCACATGAGCCCTCCAGAGCAGAGATGCAATGTTGCGCAAGAACAAACAAACGGTGCTCGTGCGACGATACACGAGCGTCAACCGCACGAAAGACCAAGCGCTGAACTCTCAAGCCAGAACCAAAAACCGAACATCTGAGCATGCCTAAGCCACGGGGTATCCCAAACCGAAGCCCTAAGTCTAAGTGCACTCCTATGTAAGACCCGCCCGGGACCCTCGCCTCTTCGTCGGTCGAGAACACGCGAACCACTGCCAAGTGTTCGTGTCCATGGCCTCCGGCCCAGACCTTTGCCTCGGGCGTGGGCTCAGTCTGAC